CAAGATCCGCGGGCGGCGTCAGGTGTTCCATCTCCGTAAACGCTTCCGCAGTCACCGGCAGCTCATCCATCTGAAAGCCTACGTCCGCGTACTTTATCCCTCCCATTTTCTTGGTCGTCGAAGCACCTGTATCTCGGTCTCCGGACCTCCGACGCTCCGTCTGGTTGTAACCATCCCGAGTGGTGATATGCAGTTTCTCGACAGTGGTCGACTTGAGGATCACGTCCGGTGACCAAGTCGCTCGCTGCCGTCGACGTGGCCCACAATTCTTCGCACCAGTAATGGATAGAGTAACGGGGGCCTGGACGGCCACCCCCGCATCCTCGCGGTCGCTTGATGACGATCGGAGTGGGCCCGCTACGTTGGTTCCAGTTTTGACACCGGAACCACCCACTCCTGCCGACCTCTAGGGTTCCGAAGCCCCTGATGTGGTAACAATACTCGACTGATAACAACTCATATTGTGGTTTTTCAAGTGATTTCCTTCACTACATTTTAACCCTACTGCTAAGGGGTTTTTGATCAAGGTTTTCCTTCCTCTAGGACGGCTGTCACCCAAGGCTGAAGAGCCCGCCCTACCCTTTGTTGAGAACCGCTTTGTCAGCCCTCAGTTCGTCAACCTGTCCAACATGGGAGACCCTGTTGGTAGTAAACTACCGTTGGCATAGCTCTCGGAACTGTTGAAGAACACAAGCTCCCCCCACCACGTCAAGGTGGGTTCTCGTGGGGGGTTATTATTAAGACGTCACGCTAGACGAGAAACATACCCAGCCCTACAAACGAGGCTGGGAAAGACAATATATATATTATTTTTTTACACCTCAATAAGGGGTTATCGTGAGAGACTGTCTCGTGACTATTACGGAATATATTTATATCTATAAAAATAATTTATTAAGGAATTTGTTATGTACACAGGTTATGATAATATATTATTATGATAATATATCAGCTAAAATTGACTACAAGTACAAATTATAAATAATTTTAGCTGTCTGAGAAAAATATACTAGATTCAAGGAAAACATGTTCAAGGAACTAATTATTAAAATATTGAATAAAAAAATTGATTTACGTTAATTTAACTATTTACACATTATAATTTGTTTAATATACCTACACGTTTTGTTAATATAAAGCTTAAAAGTATAGTAGGCACTCCCTTAAAGATATATTTCCACGCGCTTATGAATATATTATACTAGAATGAAACAAGTTATAAAAAAAAACTTATATCTGGAAATTGTCAATAATTTATTTAAGAATAAGGTTTATAAACTTAAGTAAATTTTTCGAAAATTACAA